TTTATTTACCTCCACAATGTTCCACTCTGCTTTTGCCCACCACAACTATTTACTACTAAGGACTTGGCTTTGTTAACTCCCATTGTTAGGGCAAGGACATAACAGTTGTGCAGCCTTAGCACATTGAAGAGCTGACCATTGGCATTTGGGAAGTCTCCAGTTAAGTTTAGGTTGTGCTTATAAGTTCAAATGTATGATCTTAAGATTCAGTTATTTATTTTTCTCTCTTTTCATAGGTCAAAGGAGGATACATATGTAAATTAAGTCTTAAGAAGAACCCATTACATCCCATAGTCCCCAAGGTGTTTTGTTTTTTTTAAAAGATTTAATTATTTATGCATACAAGTGCTGGGGTGTAGGACAAAGGTGCAGGGGGTGAGAGGATTCACCAGAAACAGAGTGGGAAGCAAAACAGGCAGATTGACTGAAATACACTGCTGTGGGGAGCAGCAGGTGAGACAGGAGAGGTCTGCTGTGCCATGTGGGTCACCAAACTGGCTAGAGAATGAACTCATGCTGCAGTATCTGTGGATTGCTTCATAGTGCTGAGGCTTAACCCCTTGAACCACCAGGGAGGCCCCCATGGTCCCCAAGGTTAACAAAAGCTAGTTTATAACCTGTTCTGGGTTTTATATATATGTAAAGTTTACGTTTTGTGTACCTTAAATTACATTCCTTGTATATAGTTCTTGAATGAATGTCTGTTTTCAACTATTTATCTGTATCACTGTTTTATCTTGCAGGTAATGAGATTCTCTGCTTTGGATTCAGAAAAGCGTTCTTAAGAAACCTGCCTCAAGTTTCCAATGCATTTAGGAAAAATGAAGATCATTTGTTTTTACATTCTACACAGAACTTGGAATTTGCATCAGCCAAGATGCTCTAAGTGCTTGATGAGATGTTGCTGGATTAAGAGAGAAAAGAGAGATGCTTGTCGTGTGCTTCAAGTTTTTTCATCAAAGTCTCCGCTCAAATGTTAGTATCTTAGAAAGAACTTAATGGATATCTTATTTTATTTACTTTGTACTTTATTTTAAAAACTGCAGTAACCTCACATAACATTTAAACTTCAGGTGTGTATCATTGAAATTCAACATTTAAAAAAGAAATCAACATCTTTATGTACTATATTAAATAAACCACTAAAAGTCTAATTCCATCCTTTGCCATACAGTTGATCTCTTACTGGATTTACCTGCACCTTTCTGTTTGGTAACCACTAATTAGTCTTATAGTTTAAAAGTTTGTTTTTATTTAATTTGTCAGTTTGGTTTCTCTATATACCTCTCATTAGTGAAATCGTATCATATTTCCTTTCCTCTCACTTATTTCACTAAGAATCATACCCTCTAGCTTCATCCATGTTGTTGCAAATGGCAGTTCTTTTTTTAATGGAAGAGTAATGTTCTGTTGTATGTGTGTGTAGATATATATATATCACAATTTCTTACACTATATATACATGTACATATACATATACGTATATAATACTCAAGAGCTGGAAACAACCAAAATGTCCACTGACATGATTGGATAAAGAAAATGTGATATATGTATAAATATATATATGTCTTGAGTATTATAAAAAATGCTGTAATAAACATGGGGTGCATCTATCTTTTTTAAAAAAGATTTATTTATACCTACAAGAACCAGGGGACCTCCCTGGTGGTGCAGGCAGTTGAGCACAGCACTGTGAAGCTGTCCGCAGCCTCTGCAGCGCTGGTTCGAGCCCCGTCCGCCTTGGAGCAACCCACATGGTGAGCAGACCTCTCCTGTCTCACCTGCTGCTCCCCTCAGTAGTGTATTTCATCGGTCTGCCTGTTCTGTTCCTTGCTCTGTCTCTGGTGAATCCTCTCATCCTCCCATGCATCTGGCCTATATCTGGTTCTTGTATAAATAAAATAAATCTTTTTTTAAAAAAAAGAACTGGGGTACAGGCCAGAGGTATGTGGGGTGAGAGGATTCACTAGAAACAGAGTGGGGAACAGAACAGGCAGATTGACTGAAATACACTGCTAAGGGGAGCAGTGGGCAAGACAGGAGAGGTCTGCTGCGCCATGTGGGTAGCTCCCTGCCTGGGGACAGCTTCTCTCTCTCTCTCTCTCTCTCTATATATATATATATATATACACACACACACACACACACACACACACACACACACACATATGTCTTGAGTATTATAAATAATGCTGTAATAAACATGGGGTACAGCTCTCTTTTTAAATGAGTGTTTTTGGTTTTTCTGGCTAAATGTCCAAAAGTGAGAAAATTGGATCATATGGAATTTCAATTTTTAATTCTTGAGGAATCTTCATAATGTTTTCCATAATGGCTGAACTAATTTACATTACCACCAAGAGGGTATAGGTGTTCCCCTTTCTCCACATCTTTACCAATACTTGTTTCTTGTGATAATCATTTTAATTGCCAGAATTTCCCTTCCCTTTATAGTTTGCTGCTTTATTTTCTTCATAGCGTTTATCACCTGCAATTATCTTACTAATTTCTTCCATTGTCTCTACTAGCATGTAAGTTCCATGAAAATTGGAACTATTTTTGGGTTCCCTGTTCTATCCACATTTAGAACAGTGACTGTTTTATGTACACAGTACATATTGTTGTATCCTAAAAAAAGTGGATTTTACTGTGTGTAAATTTAAAAAACAATTTAAAAATTAATATTAACATTTCTATATTTATCATATATTTAATATTAATACATATTATAAATTTGATAGTAATATGAAATTAATATTAAAATTAATGAAAAATTAATATGGACTGAGGTTCGGTTCAGATGTTCTGAATTTAAAAGGCAACCACCTCGGGTGGTTCTTGTAATATTTGTGCACTCTGAAATTTTAGATCCTTTCTCTAAAACCTTGAGGGTAATATGGGCTTTCCTGTCCGTATTGCCCAATTCCTCATGGCAAGTTCCCTTTTGTGTTCATTGGTGTCATTACTGGTCTGTCCAATACAAGTTGGAATCATGCCAACTGTTCAATCTCCAAACAGGGTAAGTTCTTAGAGGCCAAGTGCTACAGGAGTCGACCTGTGCAATCTCTGGCATTATCTACTCACAGCACTAAAAGGGGACTTTGGAGTGACTCTCTAAACCAATATTTTTCCTACAGCAACTGACTTTTAAGTCTTCATAGCCTGTGGTGAGTTAATAGTATCTCTCACTACAGATGTTAAGATCTGGCTCTTCAGTCTCCAAATTACACTTTCCTTTCAATTAAATTCAACAAACGTTCATTGCAAGCCTTTATTGTGAGTCTAGGAGTCTATGGAGGAATATGACTTAGTCCCCTTATTATGGTCTGTAAATTTCTTACAAGGTAGTCAACTGTCTTGGAGTTTTAAAAAAATGTTCTCCAAGTCTCTCCACTTTGTTTCCAGTTTTCAAAATATAACAGTAAAGAGAATATTGTTGACTTTTGTTCCTACTCCCCGCTGCAAACGCCCAGCCCCCCTCCCACTGTGGGTATTTTCCATTCTCAAATCTTTTGACTAGTTGTACTTTTTTTCTTGATTAGTGAATAGTTTAGCAATTTTGTATGTTTTATCATTCTTAATACTTCAATTTAGATTGGAGAAATGGGAGAGTTGTTTAATTTATGGACAATTTAGAAGGGCAGCTGTTTAACTTCAATGCAGGGATGTCCATCCAGAGGACTGGGCCATAAAGATAAAGATGCAACAAATGGGGAAAGAATAAGCCGTTAGATAAGGAATGTGAAGATCCCCCACTCAGTAACAAATTGAGACAGCCGAGAACTAACCAATCACAAAGAAACTGGTCGGGCTTTAGAATAATGAGGGAAAAAAGGTATATATTCCCTGAGACACGACTCCACTTTGGCTTCCCTGCCCCTCCCAGGCCTGGTTCCCTGGCCTGGGAGTCCCACTTTATTTCTGCTCTTTTTCTCTTCAATAAACTTTTTCTTTCTATAAACAAACCTGCCTCTTCTTGCTTGCCTGAGCGTCTGGGAAGTTCCTGCTGCGGCTTCATGAGACACCAACCCATGGGGGTCTAGCGGCTGGGGCTCAGCATTGCCCCTGCAGCCTGGGATCTGTTCCTGGCTGGGAGACTAGGCCTGACAATTCCGGTATCATTTAATACTTCAATTTGTTAAAGTTCCTTTGTGCTAAATCCTTTACACGTAAATTTCATTTAATCTTCAAAATAATGCAGAACGGTAGATGTCATAGATGGGAAAATATTTCCCTGGAGGTCCAGAGGTCCAAGGTGCTCCTACTGACAGCCGGATTGCCAGTGGGTAACTGGAGTTGGGTCTCTCCCTCCAAAGCTTAAGCTCCTTTCGATACACTTGGCTGCCCTTTGAGAAGGGAACTGTAAGGGATGGTAGGATGTGGAAAGCTTAAGCATTGGTTTACCAGGGTTGAGAAATACTTCTTATGTTTCTGAAAATCATCTCCTTTTTTTCAGAATGGTAAAAGGAAAAGGAGATGTGCAGTGGGGGCACTGGGAGTTTGGGAGGGGCTGAACCCAAACGCTGGCCTCCGGGTCAGAGGTGGAGGGAAGCACTGTTGGCAGAACCCGCAGTGCACCCCCTGGACTTGAACCTGACCCAGCATGCGCTGCACATGCTGTAGGTGCAGAACACTGGTTCAGCTGAGCCCTCCGCAGGTAGGCCGCTTCAGGTGCAAAATGGTTTATGGTCCCACCACATCCCTAGGGGCAACTTCTCCAGACACAGGACCCCTCCGATGCGTACGTGACTGGCTCGGAACCCCTACAAGCAGCCCATGCTCTCTACCTGGGGCACCAAGGTTAAGGTGGACGATTCTCCGCCTCGCCCGCAGAGCGGGCTAGACCCCGAACCCGAAGAGTCGGCTTTCCTGATTGGCTTAGAGTACAAACGCAGGCGAACGCCGCCTGAGACCCGCTCTTTGATTGGCTTTTAAATGAACAGCAGAGCACGAAATAAAGAGGCCTTCAGTCATTGGGCCATTGTGGGAGTCTCCTTTTGGCTTCTCGGCCGACTGAATAAGCGTCTCAGGATCTTCGTCATGACTCTTAAATCTGGGCCTGTCAGTTCGCCCCAGCGTTACTCGTCTCTAGGCAGGGCATGGGGTTTACAGGGTTCAGCCAATCATCTATCGTCGAGATCAGGTTGCCAGGCAGATTATGTTAACGAGGCCCCGCCTTTTATGCTGCTCCCACTCTGCGGCGGGAAGAACCACCTGGAGGTGGCGGGGGGGTTTGATTTCCATCACCCCTAGGGAGAGAGGATCGGGGACCCGCTGATCTTCCAGCTCCCCTCACCCAACGTCGTGTAAGTACCTAAAGGATTAAGGGAACCGGATAAGCCAGCGTCCAGAGTATCCCATCGACTGGGAGGGTGTTTCGTCTTTGCTTAGTCCCACCCAAAATGGCGCCGAGCTCTTTCCGCGTTTCAGAGCCCGGCCGGGGCCAACCGACCGCGGACCCGGGTGGGGGGGGAAATTGATGGTGGTGGTGGGGGGGAGAAATCCCGGCGGCACCGCCCGATGGTACAGTCCAGCCGGGGCTGGGACGAGGCACCTCACTCGGGGTGGGGGGTCAAACCATCTGCACCTTCTAAGGGGAAAGGGGCAAAACCCCCTAAAGGAGCCCCTCCTGGCCCCGCGTTCAGCGATGGCTTCGGCGCCTCCTCGCCCCTGCCTTCCCCGCGCGCAGCCTCCCCCGCGACCCCCGAGAGGCTCGCACGCTCCGCCGGCCGCGCGCACCTCTCCTCCCCTGCCCGCGTTGGTTGGGCCGGGACGGCAGTTGGGCGCCCCGCGCGTTCCCGTGGCGGCGGTTGGGCGGGCGCTCGGGGTGCGGCGGGCGCTCGGGGTGCGGCGGGCCGTCTCCGCCGGCCGGGCGCCGGGGGCCGGCGCGGGGGTGGCGCGGTGGCCGGGCGGGCCCGCGCGGTGGAGGCCGCCTGTGGCTGGGGCGCCCGGCTTTGTCTTGGGAGGCCGCGCCACCCACCTGCCACTGGTTGCTGCCCCACCCACCCCCCCCCCCCCCCCCCCCCCCCCCCCCCCCCCATTTGCAAGCTGGCGTCGCCGGGCCGGGGAGCTGCCCCTGGAGGGGTGCGGGGATGGCACGTGGGGGCCAGTCCCGGTGCACAGTAGCCCAGGGTGGGCCGGGCGGAGCACGAGGTCAACCTGCTCTCGGTGTTGGGTGCGGAGGCCCGAGCCCCAGAGGTCTTTTGGGGCGGGTGGATGGTGTGTGGTTTGCAGCTGATGGATCAGCTTTGGTGAAGCATCTTGCAGTCTGGGGCCAGGTATTAGGTGCTCTTGTAAGAGTGGCAGTTGAATTTTGCGTGTGCGGGTGTAGCCGTGCCTGGTGGATTTGTTGGATTTCAGTCCATTTCCAATCAATGTATGTGTCGCCTCTGCACAGGAAGGCTGGTTTTGGTGCCGTGGTCGAGGATTAAAAGTGTTAGGAGACCCAGCCGGCCAGCCTGGTATCTCATTCTTCGCTTTCCCCTCTAAATCCTGCCCAGTGCACCACCCCTCCCCCCCAAAGTTCTCCAAACTCAACAGTACTTTACCATCATTAAAGGCAAAATCACTCTCGACTGTTGTGTGGCCTCTTTTTCTGATCCGTTCCCTTGATTACCACTCCACCTTTTGCTGTAACCTCTTTGAAGGCTGGAAGGTTTTTTTTTTTTGTTTGTTTGTGTTTCCTTTTGATTCTCTGCTACCCACTCCACTCCCAGCTCCCCCAACAGCTTCTACATTGATGAATCTTACTGGTATGTTGTTGCTCTCGAATTGAGAAAACAAGTGTTTTGTTGTTTTTGTTTTGCTTTTAATGAGGATTCGTTGGGGCCAAGGTGTGTTTGAAACAGTATTGGTTCAATTTGCTGTTTCTGAAAGTAACTTTTACAGGTTTTCCTTTAAGATAAATTGAGATGAAATTGACATAAAAGGAACCACTTAAAAGTGAACTATTTAGTGGCGTTTAGTAGATCTACCTTTTTAAATTTTGGGCCAAGACATTCCCCCGCATTTACTTCCACAACTTAGGACACCCCTTAGTCATTTATACCTTGAGCACCCGCTCTTGACAATACGCTCTTACTCTTTACAAGGGTGATTAAACTGTTTTACCAAGGACTTTTTGCTATTTGATCAAATCACAATGAGTCCTTCCTGTTGAAATATAAATCACTTTACAGGGGCCTCCCTGGTGGTGCAAGGGTTAAGACGCAACCTATGAAGCTGTCCCCAGCCTCTGCAGCACCAGTTTGATCCCCCCCACTCCCCCTGCCAGGGAGCAACCCACATGGCGCAGCAGACCTCTCCTGACTCACCTGCTGCTCCCCTCAGCAGTGTACTTTGATCAATCTGCCTGTTCTGTTCCCCACTCTGTCTCTGGTGAATCCTCTCACCACCACCACCATCTCCCCCTCACCCCCGCCTGTATCCCAGCTCTTGTATGCATGAGTAAATCAATCTTAAAAAAAATAGATCACTTTACAATATTCACATTATCATTGCCCCCAACTAGACCATATGGGTGGGACATTTGTTGGTGGGACATTCCAGTAACTTATGAGCCAATCAGCATATTTATTGGTTTGACAATCTTGTCACATGGATTCACTTTAAAAAAAAATTATGCATACAAGAGCTGGGATGTAGGCCAGAGGTGGTGGGGTAAGAGACAGTGGGGAACAGAACAGGCGGATGGACTGAAATACGTTGCTGAGGGGAGCAGTGGGTGAGACAGGAGAGGTCTGCTGTGCCAGTGTGGGTTAGCTCCCTGGCTGGGGATCAAACTTGTGCTGCAGATAGTTTCATAGTGCTGAGACTTAACCCCTTGCGCCACCAGGGAGAACCCCACTTTTTCTTTTAGTCAAGTATAGAAATGTTTTGTTCTTTTGTCTGTCCTAGAAGGGGTGATTGTTGATTTGCATAAAAATACTTTTTTTTAACAAAAAAGTTATTTATTCATGCATACAAGAACTGGGGTACAGGCCAGAGGTGCGGGTGGTGAGAGGATTCACCAGAGACAGAGTGGGGAACAAAGCAGGTAGATTGAAATACACTGCTGAGGGGAACAGCAGGCGAGTCAGTTGAGGTCTGCTTTGCCATGTGGGCAACTCCCTGGCCAGGGATCGAACTTGTGCTGCAGTGGCTGCTCATAGGTTTTGTTTTAACCCCTTGCACCACCAGGTAGGCCTCTGCATAAAAATACTAAGGTAAATTGTAACTAGAGCCCTTAAGAGCATGTTAAAAAGAAACTTTAATAGAAGCAATTTAAAACATGGTAATGGTGGGGCCTCCCTGGTGGCTCAGGCGGTCACGCTGTGAAGCTGTCTGCAGCCCCTGCAGTGCCAGTTGGATCCCCACCGCCCCACAGCCCATATGCGAGCAGGCCTCTCCTGTCTTGCCTGCTGCTCCCCTCAGCAGTGTATTTCAGTAGATCTGCCTGTTCTGTTACCCACTCTGTCTCTGGTGAATCCTCTCACCCTCCCGAGCATCTGGCCTGTATCCCGGTTCTTGTATAAATAAAATAAAAAATCTAAAAGAAAAAAAACATGGTAATGGTGTAAAAGTTAGTGAATTGGTATGAGAATTTGGTTTTCCCTTTCTATTTGCAAACACTAAGTGGTTTTGAAATAACCTTTTCTAATTTATTTTTAATCTTTTAATGTCAACAAAAACTAAATTTAGCATTTTTTGCTGTTTTACTGTATAAATCACAGTCTTATAGAAGCTTAGTCATGTGCCAGAAGTTTCAAATTATGCAGTCTTAAGATGATTTTCACAGTATCTGTGTTATTATTGGGTTTTCACAATATCTTTCTATTATTGGGTTCACATGACTTTATGATATTTTCACTAAACATCACCTCTTTAGAAGGGATTAGTATTGGGCCTCCCTGGTGGCAGAAGGGGTTAAGACTCAACCTATGAGGCTCGCCGCAGCCACTGCAGCACGAGTTTGATCCCCGGCAAGGGAGCAACCCACATGGCGCAGCAGACCTCTCCTGGCTTGCCCACTGCTCCCTTCAGCAGTGTATTTCGGTTGATCTGCCTGTTTTGTTCCCCACTTTGTCTCTGGTGAATCCTCTCACCCCCCACAGCTCTGTCCTGTACCCTGATTCTTGTATGTATAAATAAATAAATCTTAAAAAAAGAGAGAAGGGATTAGTATTAAAAGTGTGATCTACTCTAAGCCAATTTAAGTTTTTAACATTTTAGGTCACGCTCCACCTGTTAGTATGCAAGCTGGACTGTACATGTGAATGGGATTATGTTTTATAGATAGTGCCAAATCCCTGTCTTTGAAGGGTTCTGAAATGCTTTTAGAGTTTAAAACAAAACAAAACAAAAAAGTTAAAAAAAAAAAAAAGATATACTGGCCAGCTACTGCATATTGATATGCAGTAACATATCAATCCAATGTAATCCTAAAGTGATTGACACTGCCCCAATTTCCACATTTAAATTTCTTTTTTATTATAGTTTATCAATAATACATGACTATTGTAGAAAACAAAGAAAATGGAGACTGTATAAAAAGTAAAAATTAGCTAGATACACTTGCCAGTACTAATGATACTTTCGCTATGCAGTGCACTCACTGTTATTTTAATGAGCTTCAAATCTTTTTTTGTGTGTGGATGTAAGACATTCTAACAAAGTTGGCATTTTAATGTGTGGTTTTAGTATTTTTTTGTTAAACAATGTAGATAGGATCTAGTAAGTTCAGTGATGATTTGTTACTTTCAGTAGTTTTCCTCTTTATTTAAAGAAGGCATTATCATGACTTTCTCTGAACTAAAAGAAATGTAATAGTTGATTCATCTTTACTTTTTTAAAGCATAACTGAAGGGAATATGTTTCTCAGTAACAAGCAGAATAGATGAAAAAGTTGAGAAATATTTTGGTTTTCTTAATAATTTTACATTTTAAACACTGGTAACTGTAATTTCATTTGGTAAAAATGATTAACTATTAGCAGTGATTTTTTGGTCAGTTTGTTTTAAAATCGAATCTGATGTACTTTGACCTGTTACTAAAATGCATAGTTACAGAGTAGCTATACCCTGTCCAGCAATTTGTATGTTTTTCACAAACAGAGTTTATTGATTACTACTTAAATTTATCATGAATATTTAATAGGTCAATGAGAATTTGATCTAGTATCTAGAAAAAAGCCAGTGAGTTAAGAACAGGAACTTTTTGCTTACAACCAGATGTTTGCATGTGATCAGATCTTTGCAGAATGATCAGCTCACATTCTTCTAGGGTGGGCTTGGGTAGGGCAGGGTAGGAGTAGATGGTGGGAGGGAAG